GTATTTTGCTCCTTGATTGCCACAGAGCGCAAGAATGGTATTGGTATTGCCTTGACTTTTCCCAAGAAGTCCATGCCGATGATAATTTGGAAATCATCCATAAGAGCCACCATGAAGTCAATCTTGCCATTTTATGTACCTAGGCCGATGTCTACTTCATATGCTACTTCGTGCAAGGGTTTGGCCTCTGAACTAACAGCCTTGAGCCATTCAAACTCTTTACTAGTCCTTAATTCTAACCTTCTTGCCTTTTCCACAGAGACAAAGTTGTGTAACTCCCGTGTCCACCATTGCACGAGTAGGCTTGCCATTGAGGCACACCTTTACATACATCAAGCCCTTGTCATCTTGGGTAGATGTGGCATGCTTTGATTTGATGGCATTGAGTAGTTGTAGGGAGTCTCTTCTTTTTCCCATTTTTTTTATCATGGCATTAAGGGCTTGTCTTCTAGGACACTCTCTTGCCTAGAGTAGCCCATTACACACAAAGCAATTGGTTTTGGGCTTGAACTTGCTTTTGTCTTTAGCTTTGTCTTTTCCCTCTTTGCTAGTAGGGGGCTTGTTATGCCCCTCCTTGCGATAGAACCCCATGTTCTTATCTTTCCCACCTTTATTATGACTATCCTTTGATGTCCTGGCCTTACTTTCTCGCCTTTTATACTCAATTAAGGACTTTATCAGGATAAAATTGAAGAGTGGTTCTTCAACAGTCATACTCAGAACTTCAAGCATAAGAGTCGAGAATTCTTTACATAGTCTTGAATAGATGCTGTGTGTTTAAGTTTCTTCAAGCTTTTTCTAGCTTGGTAGGCCACGTCCTCAAGATAAATTTTTTTCTTAAGTTCTTTCTTAAAGTCTTCCTAAGTGTCTATGGTGCATATACCTTTCTCAATATTAGCATGTCTGCGACGCCACTACAGTGTTACTGTATCGGCAAGGTAAAGGATTGTGGTTCGTACTTTAGCATCTTCCTCAGCCACTGTCATCACTTCGAAGTATCTCTTCATATGCCATAAGTAGTTGTTCACTTCTTTGGCATCCCTTTTTTCGTTAAAAAGTTTTGCTTCGCCACCTACACCTTCGATGTCCTTGGCATGGTCACAACTCCCCCAGTTATGGCCTTTTCGCACTTTGCCACAACTTGGTGCTCTTTTTCCAAGTGGGCTTCAAAGCTTTCGAGTATCTTTAACACTTTAGCTTGGAATGAATCATTAGCAACTTGGTTGTCATGCACCACAGAGTTGATGGTGGAAAGCATGCCATCATGGAGTTCTTTGATTTCTCTCTTGAGACCTTCTATCTCATGTTTCAAGCTTTGTGCCAACACATCAAGACATTCTCTAAAGTCACCCACGGCATGCTCTAACTTGGCCAGCTTAGTCTCCATGGCTGCCACAATGTCACGTCCATTCGTGACTTATCCTTCCTTGCTTTGCTAGTGTTGTCCCTTCCATGAGTTTGGTTGGTCACCATTGTTTCATCTGCACCGAAAGACATGTTGCCTTTCTCCCTATGTCACAAACTTGGCTCTAATACAATGTGTCACAGCCTTGGTTATTTCCAATCAATTCGTGCGACACTTAGACAATCACAAGTCTTGCTTGATGATGCTAAGTTAGCCTAATTCATAAGTTTGCAAAAAAGAGAAGTAAGAAGACAAAGAGAGTTTGAGAGTATGCCTTTGTATTCACTTTGAGAGAACTTGTACAACTTTTGATTGATGATTGAAGCAAATACGCCCCTCTCCTATTTATAGGCTCCTTTGAAGCATTCTAAAATACACAAGAAAGAGGTATATAGAAACTTCTCGTAGAAGTCTTCTTGCAAACTACAAGAACATTGTAGAATGTCTTCTAGAAATATCTATACAAATATTTACAAGTCTAGTTACATGTACAGGTGTACATGTACTTGAATTCTCCAAAGCCTTTTAGAATTCTCCATGGTCTCACATGTGCTAGAGTTTGCTAGGAAGTTCTAGATTCTTTCATTAGCCCCCATTTGGACAGTATATTTTTCTATGGAGAATTCAGTAGGATGTGACATTCTCCCCCTACTTGTCACGGACTAGGTGCTTGTCATTCTCTTGAGAATCTGGCTCCACGAGTGGTATAATGCATTATGCCCAAGGACCAACTTAGGTGATGCGATAAGAATCTACTCTGCCTGCCTTGCTACTCACATACTTATGCGCTTGCAAGGTACTTGGTATAGAACTTGCATTACCAATGAGTCGATACGTAACATGTTACTACTGCCAATCCCTAATGCTCTTGTTAGTGGGACATTACCTTACTTGCTTACTTATCTATTCCGCTATCCATGGGAAACCCGGCCTGCGTAGACACCATCCTTGGTGCAGACCTCATCCTTGGTGCAGACCCTATAATGAAGGTGCTTGGTGTAAGTCCCACGTACCGTCCCCATCATAGTATCTCTAGGCTAGCTCTGATATTACTTATCACGGACTGGACACTTGTCATCCTTCTGCAAAGTCGACTCCATGAGTGGTACTGCGTATCCCCTTACATTATGCCTAAGGACCAACTGAGGTAATGCGATAAGGATCTATCTTACCTGCCTTGTTGTTCACACACTTATGCACTTGCAAGGTACTTGATGTAGAACACACATTACCAATGAGTCGGTACGTGACACTAAGGCCTTATTTGGCAGACTCCCAAGTTGCCAAAACAAGTAAATTATCATTTGGCTACTTTTGGACATCAATTATGAGTGTAAATTAAATCGTCTATTTTATAAAATAAAAATCTGATTGGTTCATTTATTTGATATCTAGTAAAACTAATTTTTTTTGTATAAATGGTTTTCACTACGAGGTTTACGAGATAAACAGTTGTGAGTTCTAATTGAGACTCACAGAATGAAGTACGGTGAAATCTAAAGGATAACAGTATGGAGAGGATCTAATCTTATTTGGTAACTCAATTCAACACTCAAAATTGAATGTATTAAGTGGATATTAATTAAGTTGGTTTTATAACCATAATTCATATATCTTAAAATTTTAAATATCTCTTAAAATGTAGGTTAAAATTTACATAAAATACTGACTGAATTTGTAGCTGGTTATATATAAGTTTCAACATGTATAGTTATAATTTCACCATCATGACTACCATTACACCCCACCCCACCAATACTACTACAACTATCACTATCACACCACCATTCCACCACCACCACACAACCACACTACGACCAACTTTCCACTACCATTACTACAACTATCACAACCCTCGACTTTCATTACCATTAATACAACGACCACTATCATCACACCATCACCACCTAACACTACATCTCTACCTTTGCTACATCACTACATCACCATGATCACGATCACGATCATTCTTCCTCTACTTCCACCTCCACCTCCACCTCCACCTCTATTGCCATCATCATTGATGTTGCTGCCACTCCCACTCCCACTCCCACTCCCACTATCACCACAATATAAAATTTCATTTTTTTTTAAAAAAAAATAGTAAATTTTATATTTGATCTGTAATTTAAACAATTAATTTTATTTCAATATTTAATATTTGATTAAACAAATTTTAATTAAAAAATTTCAATATTGAATTTTATAAAAAAAAAACCACCCAAATGAGAACAAAAGAGACCTGAATGGGTGGTAAATAGACCCACTACGTAATCATATGCACACAAACTCAAACCAGATTTTTGCAGACTGAAAAAAAAAAAAAAATCTTTGGCAGTATTTGATAGAATTTTCTAATAACAATGATAGAAATCACTAATTTTTGAGTTTTAAAAAGACCACTAATGACATGGTACTCAATAAAAAAAAAAAAATATAACACCAAGGCCAAAATATCAAATCATTCCTGGTGGGGTCCACTGCCACATTATTAGTGATAGCACTAATTAGTGCTCTCACTCATTTTTCATTTTCTAAATATAATTTGAGAATAAAAGATGTATTTTGAGTTTGTAAGTTTTGAAATTATGATTTCAGTGTGAAAAATGTATTTGGTGAAAGAGTTTTGAAAAGAGTTTTGAATTGAGTGAAAAATTTCTGATGTGACATATGATATTTGATACAAAAACTTACAACTCATCATTAAACATACAACTCAAAAATCTATTAAAACTCATAAAAAATTTTAAAAATTCGAAAAATATTTTTTTCGAATATATAAAAATTAACATGTGTCAATTGCACAAAAAAAAAAAAAAAAAAAAAATTTACACAATTCCGATCAACCGGCCAAACGATCGATTAGCTTAAATTTCTCACCTTCGATAGAATTTTCAAAAATAAATATAAAATTAATTTTTAAAACTCGTAAACAAATATGATATGCAAAATAAATCCAAGAACTAACGTTCGAGAGCTGTAGCATACATCACCTTTCACTCTCTCCCCTTTCTCTCGATCACCGGTACTTTCTTCCTCACCCTCAAGCCTTATTTTGTGAAATCCAAACTAACCAATGGGAAGCCAAGAAACTTCATCATAATGAATCCAATAGGATAGATAAGTACACCCTCATTTCCTCTCCTTCCTCTCTCCAAAAATCCCCGAACAAAACTCAACCTCATAAACTCATGTCCTACCCTTTTTGCCACGTGTCCTTTTGTCATACCACTAACTGAATAAAACAACAATTTCAGTTCTGAACAACCACCCTCTCCTTTTCCCCCTTTATTACTCTCCACTCAAAAAATTATAAACTCAAAACCTTTCACTTCTTCAAAGAAGAGAAAGAAGAAGAAGAATCAACAAGAAACATTGACAGAGAAAACAAAATTCCACATAGTTTTCTGAAATTCTCTCTCTCTCTCTCTCTCTCCAGTTTCTCTCTGTATAATCAGGAAACAGGTGAGTTTTCTGGAAGAACAGAGAGAGCATTGACAATGGCTTCTTTAGTTTCTTCACCATTCACATTACCCACCTCAAAAACAGACCAACTATCTTCAATCTCTCAAAAACACTACTTTCTTCTTCAATGATATGCTACTCTTTCCTTCCCAAGAAAACCAACCAAACAAACCCAAAATCATCATCCATGAGAGTGAAATGTGCTGCAATTGGCAATGGACTATTCACCCAAACATCCCCGGAAGTCCGCCGAATAGTCCCCGACAACATTCAAGGCCTCCCAACCGTGAAAGTGGTGTATGTAGTCCTTGAAGCTCAATACCAATCGTCCCTCTCCGCCGCGGTGCGTACTCTCAACAAAAATGGCAACTTTGCTTCATTTGAGGTTGTTGGGTACTTAGTTGAAGAGCTTAGAGATGAGAATACATACAAATCTTTCTGTAAAGACCTTGAGGATGCTAATGTATTCATAGGCTCATTGATTTTCGTTGAAGAGCTTGCTTTGAAGATCAAGACTGCTGTTGAGAAAGAGAGGGACAGACTTGATGCAGTCTTGGTGTTCCCTTCAATGCCTGAAGTAATGAGACTCAACAAGTTGGGTTCATTTAGTATGTCCCAACTGGGGCAATCAAAGAGCCCCTTTTTTCAGCTATTCAAGAGAAAGAAACAGTCAGCTGGGTTTGCTGAGAGTATGCTAAAGCTTGTGAGGACATTGCCCAAAGTACTAAAGTACTTGCCAAGTGATAAGGCTCAAGATGCCAGGCTATACATACTCAGTTTGCAGTTTTGGCTTGGTGGGTCACCAGACAATTTGGTGAATTTCTTGAAAATGATTTCTGGGTCTTATGTACCGGCATTGAAAGGGATGAAAATCCAGTATTCGGACCCGGTTTTGTTCTTGGATAGTGGAATTTGGCACCCTTTGGCCCCATGTATGTATGATGATGTGAAGGAGTACTTGAATTGGTATGGGACTAGAAGGGATGCCAATGAGAGGATCAAGGGTCCAAATGCACCGGTGATTGGGTTGGTTTTGCAGAGAAGTCATATTGTTACCGGGGATGAGAGTCACTATGTGGCTGTGATTATGGAATTGGAGGCAAAAGGGGCTAAAGTCATACCAATTTTTGCCGGTGGGCTTGATTTCTCGGGGCCAGTTGAGAGGTTTTTCATCGATCCGATTACGAAGAAGCCGTTTGTGAATTCAGTGATCTCACTGACAGGTTTTGCTCTTGTTGGAGGGCCGGCCAGACAAGATCATCCGAGGGCTGTTGAGGCACTGACTAAGCTTGATGTGCCTTACATTGTTGCAGTGCCTTTGGTGTTTCAGACAACAGAGGAGTGGCTGAATAGCTCCTTGGGGTTGCACCCAATTCAGGTGGCTTTGCAAGTTGCTCTTCCTGAGCTTGATGGAGGCATGGAGCCCATTGTTTTTGCCGGGCGGGATCCTAGAACAGGCAAGTCAATTTTTCTTCTTCACATTTTGGGTTTTGTTCCATTTTAAGCATCATTACTTGTGTAGTGTCTATGTTTGGTGTTTTTGGGATAATTAGATTCATATTTTTTTTTGTTTTCTTTGCATATTGTATGTAAATGTTAGAGAATGACACTTCTTATCTCTTTCTCTCTCTCTTGCTCGCTTGATTCTTCCTCGTGCTCATGAGCTAATATTTGGAATGCAATGTGATTGCAGGGAAATCACATGCTCTTCACAAAAGGGTGGAGCAACTCTGCACCAGGGCAATCAGATGGGCTGAACTGAAAAGGAAGTCAAAGGTAACTGGCTTTCTGCATTATAATTTTTCCGTTGCATACCTTGTCTGGATGGCTTTATGCAAATAGAATGTAAACTTTAACTCGAACTTCTGAATATTAACTTGACTTTTGTATCTTTCACCATTCAATTTTCTCATCCTCGAAATGGGAAAATTGAGAAATGACAACAGTGAATAGGGAAAAGTTGTCTGCTGTTAGTTTCTTACCAATTTCAACAAGATGGACTCGTTCTTAGAGAAGTACATAACATGATTTGGATGTGTAGGAATGTTTACTTCAACACCCATATAGTATATAATTTTTTATTATCAACTTTCATCTAGCTTCTTAACCCTGATTTTCAATATGTTAAGAGGCTCTATTGATGTGATGCTTGTAACATCATACTTGCTAGGATTCTTGAAGTTCTGCAGATCCTTCAATCCTTTTTTGGTTCAGTTTCATACTATTGGAACACTTTGGATGATCATGCCATTATGCTACACTAGATGAATTGGTTAATTCCTGTTTTCTTTAGAAGTTGACCGTGCGTCAAACTTGTCAAACAAATAAAAATAATAATGAATATTAAGTTCAATGATATGCTATTGTTGGATTCACTTTTTGTTACAGCCCTCATCTCTTTTCCTATGGATTATGTTAACTGAGCCTACGGTCATTAAAATATGCAGGCAGAGAAGAAGCTCGCAATTACTGTTTTCAGTTTCCCTCCAGACAAAGGAAACGTTGGAACTGCAGCATACCTGAATGTCTTCGCTTCCATTTACTCTGTGTTGAAGGACCTCCGAAAAGATGGTTACAATGTTGATGGCCTTCCAGAAACTTCCGAAGCCTTAATTGAAGAAATCCTTCATGATAAAGAGGCTCAATTCAGCAGCCCAAATCTCAACGTAGCTTATAAAATGGGTGTCAGAGAGTACAAAAATTTGACTCCCTATGCCACATCATTGGAAGAGAACTGGGGGAAACCTCCTGGAAATTTGAATTCTGATGGGGAAAATCTGTTGGTCTACGGAAAACAGTATGGAAACGTTTTCATTGGTGTTCAGCCCACATTTGGTTACGAGGGTGATCCTATGCGGCTTCTTTTTGCCAAATCAGCTAGCCCACATCATGGGTTTGCTGCTTACTACTCGTTTGTCGAGAAAATTTTCAAAGCTGATGCTGTTCTTCATTTTGGCACTCACGGTTCACTTGAATTCATGCCAGGAAAGCAGGTGGGAATGAGCGATGTTTGTTACCCAGATACTCTGATTGGGAATATTCCCAATGTCTATTACTATGCAGCCAACAACCCATCTGAAGCCACCATAGCAAAACGTCGAAGCTATGCCAATACAATCAGCTATTTGACTCCCCCAGCCGAAAATGCTGGGCTTTACAAGGGACTCAAGCAGCTAAGTGAGCTGATATCATCATACCAATCGCTCAAAGACACAGGCCGTGGGCAACAGATTGTGAGCTCTATAATCAGCACTGCCAAACAATGCAATCTCGACAAGGATGTGGATCTTCCTGATGAAAGTGAGGAAATCTCAGCCAAAGATCGTGACCTTGTGGTTGGGAAGGTTTATTCCAAAATCATGGAGATTGAATCTAGGCTTCTTCCTTGTGGGCTCCATATCATTGGTGAGCCTCCATCAGCCATGGAAGCAGTGGCAACACTGGTTAACATTGCTGCACTAGACCGCCCCGAAGAAGGGATTTCCTCTCTCCCATCAATACTAGCCGAGACGGTTGGAAGAGGTATAGAGGAAGTTTACAAAGGGAGCAACGCGGGCATCTTAAAAGATGTTGAATTACTTCGTCAAATTACTGAGGCGTCACGTGGAGCCATTTCTGCATTTGTAGAGAAAACCACAAACAAGAAGGGTCAAGTGGTTGATGTAGCTGACAAACTGAGCTCAATCCTTGGTTTTGGCGTGAATGAACCGTGGGTTCAGTATTTGTCGAACACTAAATTTTACAGGACTGATCGGGAGAAACTTAGGATTTTGTTTGCATTCTTAGGGGATTGCTTGAAGCTTATCGTGGCAGATAATGAGTTGGGAAGTTTAAAACAAGCTTTGGAAGGAAAATACGTGGAGCCAGGTCCCGGTGGGGATCCTATTAGAAATCCAAAAGTGTTGCCAACCGGGAAGAATATTCACGCACTCGATCCACAAGCTATTCCAACAACAGCAGCAATGCAGAGTGCAAAGGTTGTGGTGGAGAGGTTGCTTGAGAGACAGAAGGCTGATAATGGAGGAAAGTATCCCGAGACAGTTGCACTTGTACTATGGGGAACTGATAATATCAAGACTTACGGTGAGTCACTAGCTCAAGTTTTATGGATGATTGGTGTACTTCCCATTGCTGATACCTTTGGTAGAGTTAACCGAGTGGAACCAGTAAGCCTCGAAGAGCTTGGCAGGCCAAGGATTGATGTTGTTGTTAATTGCTCTGGTGTATTCAGAGACCTTTTCATCAATCAGGTATATCACTATTTCTGATTTTCTATGTTGGATGCCAAGTATTATTGATTCTTGATTTGATCTTTTTGTCTTGTTTTGTTGTCTCTTCTTTGTTGATCATTTCAATTTTGTTTGCAGATGAATCTCCTTGACCGGGCAGTGAAGATGGTAGCTGAACTAGACGAGCCAGAAGATCAAAATTACGTGAGAAAACATGCAATAGAACAAGCGAAAACCCTTGGTGTTGAGGTTAGAGAAGCTGCCACAAGGGTCTTCTCCAATGCCTCTGGCTCATACTCCTCTAACATAAACCTCGCGATTGAGAATTCCTCGTGGAACGATGAGAAGCAACTTCAAGACATGTATTTGAGCCGCAAGTCCTTTGCATTCGACTGTGATGCTCCTGGTGTTGGCATGACTGAGAAACGTAAAGTTTTTGAGATGGCTCTAAGTACAGCTGACGCCACATTCCAAAACCTCGACTCATCAGAAATTTCACTCACAGATGTGAGTCACTACTTTGATTCAGACCCAACCAACCTTGTACAGAACCTAAGGAAGGATGGTAAAAAGCCTAGTGCATACATTGCTGACACCACCACAGCTAATGCACAGGTGAGAGCACTTTGACCTATTTTTTTTCACTTTGTATAGTCCAAATCACCTTTTTCTTGGCTAACAACTTAAAATTTTCCCTGTTTAGGTGCGCACGCTTTCAGAAACTGTGCGGCTTGATGCACGTACGAAGTTGTTGAATCCTAGGTGGTATGAGGGAATGTTGTCTACCGGTTATGAGGGTGTGCGCGAAATTGAGAAGCGATTGACTAACACAGTTGGGTGGAGTGCAACCTCTGGTCAAGTTGACAATTGGGTGTATGAAGAGGCTAACACAACTTTCATTCAAGACGAGGAAATGTTGAACAAGCTCATGAAAACCAACCCTAACTCTTTCAGAAAGTTGGTTCAGACGTTCTTGGAGGCCAACGGACGTGGGTATTGGGAGACATCAGAGGACAATATCGAGAAGTTGAGGCAATTGTACTCGGAAGTTGAAGACAAGATTGAAGGGATTGATCGTTAGATTTTGTACCTAATTGTGAAAAGAATTATCCTTAAAAGAGTGGAAATAACACCGTTGATTCACCTGATCTCTCTATTGCTCTTTGATGGATACATGTAATTTTTCGGATACTGGAATTTGATTTTGATACCAGTCCCCCCCCATTGTAAGTTAATTTCTTTTCCGGGGGATTTGTATTATGTGTAGCTTGTGAGATGCTATTAATTCTGAAAAGTTCAAAAAGCCGCTTTTATTCATCACTGTGGCATTTCGTTACTATATCAAGGTTGTAGTTGCAGCCAACAATATTGTCATTATCAGTTTATTTCAGTAACTTCAGGAAGGTATGCCAAAAACAAAAAAAAAAAACCTACTTCAGAACAGTAACATAATTGCTTCAGGTATTTAGATCTCGGGTAAGCAAGAATATAAGTAAACAAGCTATCAATTTCTCACTTGTATAAATCTCAAAGTTCTCAACCACCAAATGTACAGATTTAGACAAGAAAAACTTACGAATCCAGAAAGCAAAATGAAAAATACAAAGATGAGAACAATTTTGTAATTTTTTTCTTGCCTTCTGTTTTTTTGTGGGAGTTAAATCTCCAACACGTAAACAATTATACAGGAAAAATCTACAAAAGAACCCCTGCCCCTTCCCCCTTTCAAAAGAATAGTACAAAAAAAATGCAGAACTTGGTGTACAATTGACGAAGTGGTCCACGGTTTGTGTCTTCTTGTGTTATAGAACTATTTTTGCCTTTAAACCAATTCCATTAGGAGAGGGTCACCTGCTGCCATAATTCTAATCAGCTTTATGAAGTCTTGCTCGCTTGAAACTTTCCATGGATGAATTGCAGGTACTTCAGGAGAATAAAAGCTTGAAGAATTAGTGGAAGGTGGTTCTTGCTTATAAATCATTGTACTGAGCACCGAGTCGAAATTCTGAGGGGAGTCCATTCCTAAAAAGAACATGGGTATTGCAACCTTCTGATGGATATCTAGATCCCCCACTAGATTTACAAGATCAATAAAGTCCACTACAAAGCGCCGAGGAACATAGAATACCTCAGAATTGCATACCGTAAGACTATGGTCATTCGTCATAGATTCCTTGTAACTGATTTGAAAATGAACCGGCATTGAGCTAACAACTTTCTTTACCATGTCTGCTTGTTTTGTAAACCAATCTGCATTGCCCTCAGTTTTCACAGCACTCCAGGACTCAGATACCTAAATGCCATTGAGTTGTCCGAGGGAGTAAGAAATATATATGACATCCCCTTTTTCCTACTCTTTACTTATTTATTTTTTGCAGTTTCTTTCTTTCTTTCCTTTTTTCCCTCCCAAGTAACAGTAAGCTTTACAAGTGGAAAAGAAGCAAAAACCAATGAAGGGGCAAAGCACTTTCTTTAACATTAATTAGCCATGGTCACCGATTATGACCTATGAAGCATGGGTATTGCAAAAATATTATTGTACAAGTACTGGGTACTTACCCGGTATGGGTTAAGTGTATTGATATGTCTGCATGCATACCGGGAAGGCAAAATACTTTGGGTACGACATGGGTATAGGATGTGTATGACATGAGTACGGCTAGGGTATTGGATGGGTACGTTTTGGGTACTTTAGGGCATAAATGTAATTTTCAAAAATATATGGCTACTAGAAAAATTATACTGTGCCTATTTTTATAAACTTTAAAAATCTAGGGTATTTTTGCTTATAAAAAATATAATACTTAGGGTTATTGTTTTGACCATTACAAAAATATTTTCATCATTTTTTGAATTTTTTTTAATAATTATTTTTCAAAAATAAAATACTTAGGGTTATTTTTCAATATTTTAATTGGTAATAATAATAATAATTTTTTTCAATGAATGTATCCGCCTACCATTTTTTTTAAAGTTTTGCCATACCAACATACCCGTAATGTACCCTTACCCACATCCATACCCGCACCCATGTTCCTAAATTATGACTGAAAAATGGCATTGCCAAACCTTTTGAAAAAAACACATAGACAATATAGGGGAAAGAGAAGTTTGAAGTTCATATTGTATTACCTTATCAGTGATCCAAAGCTTAGTCTTGTCTGCCTGCAACAGGTTCCAGTAATTAAGAATTGTATCATCCTGAAGGAATAAAAACCCCTCAGCACTGGTGAATCTATTGAATATAGTCGGCAGATGCCTGTAAACAGAGTTGGAGAATATTATCAGAAATTAAGATGAGAGAAAATGCAAAAGGAATTTTTTTTTCATTTAAACAAATCTCAGTTAACCATGAATACTATGCATAACCAAAATAAAGATAACTGTTATAATGTCACATTACACCTGCCATGTTGCAATCACTATAATCAACAAAGTCATACCAGGATGACCACAGAAATTAACATCTCAACAACCAGAGTTTGCTTCCAATACTAGTTTACTTCAGAAAAAGCAACCACCAAAATTGACAATACTCCAAATTGAAGTGCAGATACTTCAAAAAATAAAATAAAATAAAGGAAGAAAAAGAAAAAAAAGGAGAGAATGAACATAAAATCTATCCACACAGATCATTCATCTCTTATTTTGTAATTCTTAAACATAGAATGCAAATGACTCTCATCTAATGGCACTGATACCCTTCTATTTAAACCCAAAGCCAACCCGGCTACCACTAAGGCAAATGAGGCAGAATCAAGTTGAAGGTAATCAACGGAGCAGGCCAAGGATAAAAAAATTTCATCTGACGGTGATACCAGATCATTAACGACACATGGAATCAATATCTAATAATAAACCACCATTTGAACATAGTGAGCCCTACTATATACTTATGGTAGTTATGTAATTGTGTTGGATGGTGGTTACATTAAAATAGTAGGGTTCACCCCTCCCATGCAGTGAGTTATTATCAAACAGTGATACTACGTGTCAACGATGACTTGGTACATGTTACACTGAATTTTTATTCATTTTGGTGTAGCTGACCCCTAAATCTCCCAGACGCAGTGAGTCTAGTAAATCAACTCAGCCATTACACTTTGTGGTAGGTTTTACTTGTACAAGAAGATTGAGAGACACATGCCATCTAGTATGAAGGCTGATAAAGAGAATTATAGCCACACCACTTTACAACTAGATTTAAAGACAAGCACGCTCCGCCCCAACATTAGACCTCCAGTTAGAAAGGTTTTACACCAGAATTAGGAAACATACACCAACAGTAATGTCAAGCAAACTTAACAGTATCGTATTCTGGTACCAAATATTTCTAAATTATTAAGAATACTTTAGTGTCAGAAATTCACATCCTATTTCCTCCATTTCATGCTCCCAGATTCCAACAATTACATCTATAGAAGAATGGTGGAAGAAAGCTGGAAGAATTAGGCAAAATTTTAACCAAGTTTTCCTTCATGAGCCAGAGAGGTTTACAGCAAAATCGCATTAGGTTTCTCAAGTTGGTAGGCAAATTTTTTAAAGGATTCTGACAGACCTGATCTCAGTTTGGTTGATCATGGAATCCAGTTATCTTTCGAAGAAGATTTGTTTTCTGTCTTCTTTCTGGGTTTCTATTTCTTCCCCCTTCAAAGGGGTGCTTTTATTTTTTATTTTTTAGAGATTAAAAGGTTGTTTGTCATATGTAATTCTGTATTCTCTCTTTTCTTTTCTTGATGGACTTCTTGTCCCACTTGATGTTTTTTGTTCCTTTTCTTTTAACAACATTATTTTCTATTGTTGCTTAAAAAAACCAAAAGATTTTTTATTTTTATTTTTATTATCTATTTCTCTCCGTGCTTTGTTTTTCTTTCTTGATGACATTAATCTTGTGAAGAAGACAACCTAAAGAAATCAAACCTGAAGTTCCAACCCTGGGAACTTTCATGGGACAAGGTAAAGTATATGAGGTTAGATGCTAACCAGCAGAAGGTAAAGTAAATTTAACTTTGGGAGGAGAAGTGGTTTTCTCAAGGGCTCCTACCCCCCCCCCACAACAAAAAAAAAAAAAAAAAAAAACCCAACAAAGAAGAGAAAAGAAGGAAATTGAAAACAACAAAAAAGAAGCATCAATCTCGAGTAGTCAACATTAGATGATTTCATCTTCCAGGCTAGATTACCATATGATGTTATACTAAGGGCGCCACTGTTTTGTGTTAACTTCAACATACATCCTTTATAATTGACTTTCTAGCCAGAGTTACACAATCAACGAATGATACCACTCTAAAAAATTACATCCACCAACACAATCCACTGGCTGACACCTCCTTCACTGTACCTCTCAACTTCTAAAATTTGAAATTATTACTATATCTATAGGCATCCTTAATGATCTTAAAGATGTGTTTGGGTAACGCATGTCACATATGCTGCATAGATATATCTAAAGTGCACCACAAAACAAGTGTTCGTGCATCTATGTGATATCCATAACTATAAGATTTTATATATTAATTTTGATCATTCAATCAATTGGCTGGAAGTAGTTACCAATAGATTAATCTATACTGAACTCTATCCAAATCCTGGATCGTCTTACAATATCAGATGCAATATTACAACATCATAACCCAACTTCCTTCTCCTTGGCCCAAAATATCAAAGAAACTTAAAGAAAATTCAGCATCCATAACTATAAGACCCTATAAATTATCAAACTGTATACCAGGTAGTAAAGAAATGGTTTTGTTTTATTAATTTTGATCAACTATAAGATTTATATATTAATTTTGATCATTCAATCAATTGCCTGAAAGTAGTTACCAATAGATTACTGTATACAGAACTCTATCCATATCCTGGATCGTCTTACAATATCAGGCTGTGTTACATGGACTCGCCACTTTGGGGCGAAGTACCCGTGTCGACACGACACGACACGGGTGCGGGTGTGGGATCTGTGTCGGATTCGTCTATTCTCTATCGGACACGGCACACAGCAAAAGAAATGAAAGAGGTGAGAGCAAGAGATTACCTGGTCGAATGATCCAGTCGAAGCTCCATCCGGTCGATCCAGTCGAAAATCGAAGCTCCGTCAGTCGATCGGACAGCCGAACACCCCCAGACGACTCTCTCTCTCTCGCTTTCTCTCTCCCTCGCGATTGCAATCGCGATCGATCGATCGATTGCTTCCTTCTCTGCACGCCTCTCTCGCGTCCTTGTCTCTCTCTCTCTCTCTCGTCCTTCGCTGATATTCCTTCACATCTATATTCGTATATATCTATATAAAATAATAATAGTTAATAACTATTATTATAATAAATATAATAATAACTATTGTCTATATCCATTCGTATATATCTATATAAAATAATAATAGTTAATAAATTCACGTGAAGATCTTTCTCTTCGGAAAATGGGTATGCTTCAATTCTATCATAGCGGTGAACTGTAGGAGGATAAACAACAACATAGCCACCAATTTCCCACAAAAGTCTTTGTGCCCAATAACCCCTCAATACATCTGAAGCCATGGTACTGACAGAAACTGGTAGCATCAGACCCCAAAATGCAGATGAGTGATAAATTGTATTGAAAGAATTAACCGGCACCATTGTACCTTGTGGTAATGCCACTTTTGGGGCATGCTCATCAAACCTAATATCCAATGCTTCCAAACCCGATTTTCGTGTAAAATAAAACACGGAATCAACATCAGGAAGCCCATTCGAAATTCCCTGTTGTATAAACTGCTTCCCACCAAACACCTCAGTGTAATATTCCTCATGCCCTATTTCCCCAACATTTTCCAATGGCAATCCCCTAGGCCAAACGGACCGTTGCCCGAAATGAATATACGGGTTCACAATGGTCCGATTAGGGTTTTCATGACTGTATTGCAAAATAACATCTTGCCTAGCATCCTCACCAATCAATTCTACATCAAAATGTTTACCAATATCATTGTCTATCACATCACCACGATCATCGGCATCGAAGATTTTCTTAGCACCGTGTTGGATTGCAAACAAATACCCAACAGTTTTTCTAACATACGAATCATAAGGCAAGTAATCAACAACCCTAAACCCTAATAGAGCTTGCTGTTCCAAAGAAAGAAATATAGTACCTTTGAGATTCCAATCTCCGGGCGTTTTGGAATTCCCAATCGCAAGCACTTGCCAGCCTTTGATCTTCGCGAGATTTCGAAGCGAATCGGTCGGGTAATTGGATACGGACACCACGATCCACCGGTCGGATCGAAAATTCGAGTAAGGGGTCGATTGATCGAGAATGGGTTCGATCGAATTCCAATTGATTTGGGGGAAATGGATCTTGTCGAGCTGTTGGGCCTGGGATTCGAAGCAGAGGAGTGCGGCAGTGTCGCCGACGTTGCGGAGGAAGAAGAGGGCGGCGACGGTGGCGATGAGGAGGCCAATTGCGACGATTTTGTAGAGATTCTCAGAGACCCATGTCGAGAAATCGAGGCTTTTCGACTCAGAAAAGCGACGATTTGGATGGAGAGTTGGCAGTGCTCTGTTCTGGGTTTTGGGGGATTTTGGGGTTGAACGATCTTGGACCAACATTGAATCCCACTACTCAAATTACTCCCCACACTGTCTCTTTCTCTCTCTACACTCCTCTTTTTTTGACTCTCTCTCTCTCTCTCTCTCTCTCTCTCTCTCCTCTGTGGAACAGAACAGGAAGCAAAACAGTACACTCTCTCTCTAGAACTCTCTATTTCTCTCTCTAAACACCTTCTGCTGCTGCTGGTGGTTGCCGACAGGTAGTGGGCTGTCTTCCTTATGCTTGAATATAACTGCTAGTTGTTTGGTGTTGTGGGGCACTGTCTCTTGCTGTGTCCTTGTCTATTGGGTAAGCCCATTGGTTCAGTCTCTTTTGCTGTAACCAGAGAAATATACAACCCTTTTGGGCTTTAATGTGTTGTTTATTGCCCTGGTAGAAGATGAAATTGTGCTGGCAATATAGATCTATCATTTTCTCTCCTCACTGATTTTAGAAAGTGATTATGATTTGGAATTGGACACACTAACTAATGATTTTATGTGTGGTTGTGGTGGCAATTGCAGGTGAGCTGTGATGTCTGTGGAGGAGTGTGGTGAGACAAAACAAAATGGTTTTAAAATGAAAATAATATTATGGTGTAGTTTTAGTTTATTTATTTAGATGTTATTTTTATTTTTTAATGTATAGGTGGTGCACATTGTTTAAAAACATGTTAAAAGTTTGTCAATATTTATAGGATTCAGAATCATTAAGTAAACAATGGGTAAATTATTTTTTCCTCCATTTATATTTAGTTACTTTTTTACTTTAGTCTTTAAAGTTTTTTTTTTTATTTATTTATTTACTTTGATCATTTATATTTCAAGTCTTTTTCTGCATTCAGGTACTTTGTGTTACAAATTAAACAAAAAACAGCACATTAATAGTCACGTGATATAAAATATTTTATTGTATATGATTCATATCTTTGACATAAACTTAAACTCTAATATTATAATAATTTTTTTTTTTTTTTTTTTTTTTTATGTTATGTGACAGTCATTGTGATATATTTTTTTTTTAAATCTAATAAGGTAATTTTAAGAGTAAATTGAGAAAATAGAAATATATAGAGCTAAAGTGAAAAAAATTAATAAATTTTAAAGATCAAAGTGAAAAAGTGACTAAACATAAAATAAAAAATAAAAAAACACACCATAATTCATCCAAATAATAAAATAAAAAAAAACAAAATTCAACAAGGCACAACATCTTTCTCTTCGCCTCTCTACAATTAGCAACAATATGAGCTTACTAACACATGTTAATGAGGACAGTATAATTGGTTTAGTAATTTATGTAATTATGTTTTAGGGGCAATAAGAAAGTTAGAGGTTTACGATTTCAGTCAATGGAACAACTATTGTCATTTTGTTAGAATCTAACTTATTAATTCATTAAATATTTTATCATTTGAGAAAACAAAAAACAAATATATTATTAGTCTCATTGGAGACTAAGGTTATTTTAGGCATGATTTATAAGAGCAACTCCAGTGTTATTTTTCATTTTTCACTAATTAAAGTATGAAAATGATATGTTTTTTATTTTACCATACTAACTTTGTATCTATGTGTTTTAATATTACTCTTTATTTTACATATTTATTTACACAAACTAGTTTAAACAACTTCCCATTACTCTTCAAATGTAGCTAGCTGTAAATTTTGTTAAAACAGTTATCATACTAGCTAGCATGTTAGAGCGAGTAAAATAGTATGAAACTAGTTATAATAACTAACAAATCTCTTTTAAAAAACTACTTGAAGAAGTTTTAAATTAGATTTTTATTATTTATTATGAAAAAAAAATATAAAAAAATATAGAGGTGTCGTGATAAAAATAAGTTAATAAGCTAATTAGCAGCTTAGGGTGACTTCCCAAATCAAAGTGCCATTTGACAACTTGACCATTTGATGGACCCTTTAAAAAACTCTATTCTAGGGAGGTTTGAGCCGATTGGAAGGAGGAAAGCTGATCGTGGAGTAAACTGGAGGACCACTAAACTGAACTGGATGCCAACATGAGAAGCAACTTACTTTATAAAATAAAGAAAAAAAAATACATGCATAATTCAAGAGTGCTGCCATTAGCACTTGTCAAAATTTTTTGGACTCCCCTCCCAATTTTATATTTTTTTATTACAATTATATCCTAAGGTAAAATTACATTAAAAGACATTATTAAATAGAACACCCACCTATCAATAAGAATTAATACTCTATAATATTAGACACCCACCCTCACCCTCACTCCCACCCCCACCTCCAACTCCAAGTCTAACTATACGTATTCCATGTTTGTAAATCCTAAACCTATTACTTTTCATAACCGACTAACATAAACCATAAATCTATTATTTTTCATAATTATTTTAAATCTTGAATGTATTATCTTCATCATCATTATCAACGCTATTAAACTTGAAAGTTTTGCTTCAAGTATAACGTATACTTCATCACTTATTTCACTGTGTAGAGCAATGGAGGACGAAGACAACAATTCTAGTGAGACTGATGTTCCATTGATAAGTTTATCTGTCTTGTATTAACATTCTCGGTCGTTTTCGATCGTTCTTATTTCGTTCGAGCTGTTCGGTACTGGTTTGCTGACTGTTAGAATTATGTTCGGTAATACAGTACTGAACATAATCCTTTCGTTCAATACATAGATTCCGAACATTAACGCAGATAGTCAGTTATGTAATTTTCTTTGTTAAACTAACTTAGAATGGAAAAGAGTGAATTGGAATGGATTTAAGTTATGTATTTTGAATGAATTTAATTTATGTTATTTTAAGTTGTGAATTGGAATGGATTCAAGTTACACAGTGATGAACAAATTTTGTTCAGACATACAGTGCAGATAGGATCATTATTATTCGACAAAACAGTTTTGAACAAAATACATTTTTTCGGCTACACAGTGGTGAACAAATTGTTTTGGGCTACATTCAGAATTTTGATGGCAATTCAGACGATGATTCTGATGGCGATTTAGACGATGATTCTGTTTTTCCTCATATTGCAAACGGTTATGGAAATCCTGTAGAAATTGGAGTATCTTCGATCGATCTCAGCGATGATGAAGATACAAAAAGCAACGAAGAAGATGATGATGAGAGAGGTTACTGATTTGGCAATACGAAGAGCGTTCAGAGAATATGAGAGTCGTCGGAATGCTCCGTTGACGGCCGAGACGGCGACGAGAGTGATGGAAGGTTGGGGTCCAAGAGTTCTATACTGGACCAAAGCTCTAAACTTTGAAGATTGAGTGAGTCAGGGAAGGAGAGGGATGAAAAATTAGGTGGGTGTGCATTTCATTGTGAAAATATTATAAATATGGACAGATTTGGTAATAAGTGGGGTGTCTAAAAAAATATTATTAAAATTTAGGGTTTAGGGTTGGGGTCCAAAGAAATGGGGGGTCTAAAGAATTTTAGTAGGTGCTAATAGCAGCACTCTAATTCAATGTAATTTAATACATATTATTATTATATCAAGCACAAAATACTTTGATGTTTTGTTATCATTTTTTAATTTAGATGTTTCAAGGGAAATTCTGTTTGCACCACAATTTTACCTCTTTATACCTATTTTTCATTACACTATTAAAAAAAAAATGGCATTCTCATTACACCCTTTATAATATTAAAACTAATCCTAAATTAAACCTTTTTCAAAACTTTTACAGATTTTTCTCATAACACTTATTCCTTTTGAAATTACTCTAGTGTCATATTACTGAACAAACCATATTTATACAACCATCTATTACCGCAAGTTTAGAAATTCACTTTCCTTAAAAAATCATTTTCCCCCTTCCCTCCTAAATTTATTATGAACTTGTTTGGTATACATTGCCAAATAATTTAGATAATTCCGGTGTCATGTTACTGAACAAATTAGACTTGTCTAACCATTTGTTGTCACACATTTATAGATTCAACTTCTTATAAAACATCAAGCATCCATAAAAACAGGAAGTGTACAAACATCCATAAAAACATTTATAAAATCTGCCAATACAAACATCTTCAAATACGTCAATACAAACATCTATAAAAACACATTAGATGTTATCACAATCCATCTATGTCGATAGTTTAGGTAGTTACTATATCAGGCAGAAAAGCGTACAGAATTTTTGATAACCAAGTTGTATAACATATCCATGCATTCAATCATGGCAAGAAATTCTAGTAATCATTAGCATTATGCATATGATTTGGTTGCTAAGAAAGGATTTAGAATCTGTTGAGTATGAGTAGAAAATTTAGTAAGTTTTGGAAAACTAGAATATGAAACCTTAAGATAGAAAACTAGGCAAGTAATGGAAAGTTAGGAAAACCATTTGAATTAGGAAATTGAATGCCTAGATGACTTAGAAAACCTTAAGTGAGGAGTTTAATGGTCTTAGTCCAATGAATAGAACTTGATGAATAATAAATCAAAAATTAACTAGGATTAGCAAAAGTTAAACAAGATTTGCTTAAACCTAAGTGAGGTTAATTTGACTAACCAATATTAGGATTTAAACATGGTTAATTATAACTAAGTCTAGTTGTAGACACCCCATTTTTGACCACTTGTAAGACTTAGGCGCTTGGTCCACCGCACTCGATAATGAAAACTGCATTGTGCAATTCGAGTTCTCGGCGAGGGAATCCAAAGTCGAGCTCCGAAAGAATCCCAAAACCTTCCTACTTGTCTTATTCTTACCTCAGAGGTTCATTTTTGAACATTGTGCTACCTTACACTGAGTTTGAAACATGGGAGTGGGGCAGCACATTAGGGCCCGACCATGCCCCATTGGGAGTTGGCCGTGGCTATTGGGGCCTGGCCGTGCCTCGATGGTGATGCACATTGTTCTGCACCAAAGCCCGCCAGCTATCATTTTTTGAAGATATTTTCAACTTGTTTTGCTCAAATTCTATAAAAATGAGGTTATACCTCTGTTTTGAGGGTTAGAAGATTTCAAAAGAACCTATACACACAAGAGAGAGCTCTTTTTTCCTATATAAGTCATCTTTGAGCTAACCTATCTCTCTTGACCAATATCCATGTACCATACATCACCTTAGATCATAACCTTAGAACCTTGGTTGAGGCTTGAGCATCACAATTCAAGCTTGAGAGTGTGCTTAAACCAAGTTTGTGTTACCAACAAAAGCTTGCTTCTTTGAGAGGTATAAGCTTACTACCTCTTCTCTTGCTTTCTTTGCTATCTCTTGCTATCTACTTCTTGTGTTTTTATGCTGT